GTTTGTATTAGTTTTTTATCTTTGTGACTATAAACTTTAATAAAATTATTATTTTAAAAAAAGGGAGGCTGGAAAGGGATCCCCATAAAACCCCCCAATGTTTATATTCTTTCCTTTAAAATAAATAAATAAATAAATACACAAGGAAAAGCAATTTTTCTAGTTTGTTATCAATGCACATGAATCGTCAACAACACCCAATATGACCCTGTGAAAACTCCTGTGATTTATTTATTGTGAGGCGGGGATTAGGAGGGCTGGCTTTTTTCCCTCTGAAACTGTCGGACGTATAAGCCAGGGTTTGTTCTTGGCTTCCAATTCCTGGCTTGCCTAGGACCAGACAAGCTAAATAGTTTGCATGCCACAATAAGCAAACCTCAGAAAGAGCATTCCTGGTTTGTTTAGTCCCACTAACAGAAGCTAAATGGGAGCTACTGAGCAGCGTGCATTAGCACACTTGCTCTTTCACAGCGAGTCAGAATTCTGGCTTACCATGACGTGTGACCACTCCTATTCTCTTGTCAGTGGTTAAGAGTTCCCCAGCACAGTCTGGCACCAGCCCTATAGAGGACAGCAGAGTCAAAGGCCTTTATATATCCATTATCCTAAAACCTTACACGTTTCTGTGAAAATGAGTGGCAGATTCAATATAGTGCAGCTATCACCTATGAAACTGTAGAACCCACTGTTGAACTCAGACAATAGCAGTATTAAGATCCAAAAGTCAGTCTTGAAAAATTGTGTTATGCCAGTATAGATCCTCTTCATGTTTCATGGGGCCTAAAGGAGCTCCCTTCTTTGAGGCAACCCAGCTGATAATGGATGACTGGCCAAGTTCTTTAAAGAGAAAGCAGGAGCACAGAAAGTGCTCTGGGTTCAAAGGGAAAAAGATCTTTCAGAGCATGGGCACATAGCACTTGTCAGGAGGGCAGCCATGAGAAAAGACAGGAAATTCCAATCAAAGAACTATCCAAATCTTTGTTAGCTGGGACAGTCTTACTTCCAATGACAGTCCCTACAAACAAACAGCCTCTATCTGTATTAATACATCCCTCGCTTTATCTTTACAACTACTTAGTGACGTAAGATTGAGGTCAGAGATAGCGACCAGCTCAAAGTCTTCTAGTGAACTCTATGACTGAGTAAGGACTGAACCGGGTTTTTCCAGTCCAAATCTATCACTAACGTAGATAGACTCTATATTAAGCCATCAGTTCAACCAAGAATTTACTCTAACACAGATCCTTTTAGAGTCATCATTCAACTAAACTGAAACATTAAGTCTGTATGATGAAATTTCAGTTGGATTACTGAGATTTGTTTTACTTCTGATAGGGCTATATATTAAGCTTGTTTCAAAAACGATTTTTCATTGTTGACTACAAAAAATAACTGCAAAACTGCCATCTTTTTTTCCTTAGAAATGTGTTTCCTGAGAAGCCAAGTACAACCCTTCAAAAGCAACCCTCGATATCCTGCAAGAATATGTTGGGGAGCGCAGAGCTCCTTGCAGATCCCTTATGCTACTCCCCAGGTAACCATTCAGATCTTTGGACTTCTCTATCAGGAGGCAATGTCAACACCATCAGATTTTTTACTTCACTTCTCAGCCCAAAAAAGGCTTCCAGAGAAGATTATGAAAGTGACACTAATTATTGTCCTCTGAATGCCAATGCACCATGTATTCTGTTGGATAAAGAAATCCTATCAGACACAGCCTCTGCCTACCATCATTCTGAGGGCTCCAACTTCAGAACTGAGGTACCTAAATAAGAAGGTACATTCTGAGATACCAGGTCTAATCATCTCCCTGAATTTTCCATGGAGCAAGATCTTAAATTCAAAGCTACAAATGAGAGGGCTTGTAAGAGGGTGACAGACTGGCAAAAAGCTATTGGCTAAATAGAGCAAGCAGCCACCAAAGGCAGGCTTAAGGTTTATAAAGCTTATCACAGAACTAAAAGGTGCAATGGGCTTACGTAAAGAGCGCCTCCGTTTGTTCTTTAATTTCCTTCTTTTGTTCATCCCAGCTTTAGAAGGAGACTCTTCTTTTGCCTTTGGCTGATTGGTAACTTTTGAAGAGTTCTGCTGACTGAAGTGTGTTGGTACATGCCGAGCCAGCCCACTCTGTGAAGCAAAACTAGCATTGCATCCTCCCACAACGCACTAAAAAAACAAATACGAGAACATAGCCAACAATACGAAATCATACCAATTGCAACAGCTCTTTTGCACAGTTAATAGCAGATATTCATGAATTTTTTGTGTGAATGAATACTGACTCTCTCATAAAGAAACAAATCTAATAATAAGATTAAGTATTATAGCAAAGGTCAATTGAAGTGTTGCACTTCTTCAAATATAGTGATTAAAATGGATAACATGTTTGTTCTGTGACAGCAATTCCTGCTGTCAGGAGCTCTCTCTCTCTCTCTCTCTCTCTCTCTCACACACACACACACACACATCAGGAACATTAACCAACAATTAACCAACATTAATCATTATATGACCTAGCAAAAAACTCCCTTATTGTGGAATAGCTTTTCCAGAATGATTAAGCAGGTACCAACCTTAAAGCAATACTATAAATACCAAATATTTTTAAGTTAGTCAGTTTGTCCTACTGTATTTTTATTCTCCTTTGAACCTGTTAGCTTAGACAGGGGACTACTCTCATATTTTAAAGGCAGGCTATTTTAGGGAGAGAGGGGAACGCCTTCCTTTCAGGTAAATATTTTAATAAATACTGAATACAGAGACAAAAGAAAGCCTGTCTTAGAAAATATCCTACCTTAAAAGGTTTGTCTCCACTATGGGTCAACATATGCCGCTGTAACCAACTTTGACTTGTTGATGGTGTGTTATACACTTTGCAGCCTTTCCATAAGCAAACAAATACCTAGTAAGACAGAACACAAGAATTAAGTTAGGTGGAAGCTCTATTTATCACATATTTTTAACATTCAGGTTAAAGTACTTGAAAATAATACACATTTCTGTAGAGAACCTTTGCTTTTAGCACATTTAATGCATCTCCTAACTGGCTCTCACTGCTGGTAGCAATGTTGCTTTGTCTTAGCACATTAAGAGAAGTCATCTAGTTTTTTTTAAAGCAGACTCAACTATTCAAAAAATGGGAAATGAAAAAGTGTTTCCAAATTCACAGCAAAGAAACAGTAATTGCAAGGATCATCATAGAATGAACATACAGCTGAGGTCACTAAATCAGTTCTGTGAAAAGTTACCAATCTAAGAGGCCACCTTGAGAAGGTTAGGTAAATTCAGCAAGCACAGATTGATTCATGACTATTTAAGAGCCTAACCAAAATATTTACCTCTGTCCCTAGAAAATTGTGCCAATGTCCCCATATCACTGCCTGTTTGTGAAGTTACTTGGGCACTGTCCAAATGGTGATCTGGATTGGCATTTCTTGTATCCTAGATACTTGGGAGGATTTAGGGGCATGAGTTTTTTCTCTGATACTGGTCTCCTTAACCCATCAGACTCCATGGAAAGCTGGAATTGTTGTCCTACCACCTGTGCAGCTACAGGTAACTCCCATCAACTGGTCATCAAAAGTGTCTCTTCCCCTTCACTTTTCCAATTCTACATACCCCAGGAGGTCAGAAATAGATTGCCTTATGACTGGCAAAGAACAAAACCCTAGACAATTGTGGAAATGTATGGAAGCGGCAAGCTCTACTTTAAAAGATAAACTAATTAAAAATACACTTAATAAATCACAAAATGGCATTTTGCCTTAACTTTATCAAGCTGCAATTTCTCAAGTGAAGGGATATTTTAAACTAACCATAGACATCCTCAGTGGCCTCAAATGCTGACATCTCTGTTTGAAGTGGTTTTGAGAAGATAACACAGATTTCTCCCCCATATTGTAATGAAAAGAGAAGTCCTTCTCTTTCCCAAGCCCTAAAAGGATACTTGGAAAGACAGTGACAGGCCAAATAAAAAATCTGGCTAGTAAATCAAGACAAATCTTGTGGAGTCTTGTAACTGGTTGTGCTTTATGATAATAATACACATCTTTCTGGTTAAGACAGTTATGAATAAAAAAAAAATCTTTCAAATAACCCACAAGAAATTTGCTGAATATAAAAGGAATTGTTTGCTATATAAAAGTGAGCAAGGAAAATCCAACAAAGGTCAAATGAAATAGATGAACTATTCTCCCAGTTACCTACCAGGTGGTGTTTCTCTACCCACAGTTGAATTATTATTACCTTCAAGTTTACATCATACAGAAATCTTAACCATATATTGCAAACTTCATTTAAATGACTGAAACCATTCATTTTCTAAGTGTCAAAGAACAGAAGGGTAAAAGTGTTTAATTATAATAGGATATATATCTGATGCAGTATGCCTACTGTGATAAAGTATACAATTTCTCTCCATGCACTATACATATAATGCATGGGTTAACAATGACCAAAAAGAGTTCAGCACAGACAGAATAATTTTGCATATGTAAAAACCAATGAATTCTGCATTCAAGTTTGACTTGAATGTTAGAACCCAATTTATGCTCATGCTATAATGGTATAAGAATGCAGGTATATGCAGCCAATGAAACTGTAATATTAATTATGAGAAGTTTATCATCCAGGTAGACCAGTGCCAAAGGGAGTCATGCTGTCCTCTCTGCCTATGGTCAAGGGACCAAGTATAGAACAAACTAACAAGGGAACAAGCAGCTCAGTCCCATTCACTAGGCTTGCCTTTCTTCCACTCTCTTTCCTGGAAGAATACCAAAACCAGAATCTTGCTCTTGGACTACGGATTACTATTTTACAGGGACACAATGAAAATGTGATTACTTCAAGATTTTGTCCCTACATGTGTTTTCCAATGGGCTTTATTAGCTTATTATTTATTTATTTATAGATTTACAACCTGCTTTAATCAAAGTAGTGTATAAAAGCAACAGCTGCAGCCCATGCAATACACATAATACTCCTGGCACCAAGAACTACTCAAATCCCCAAAGCCTTCCAGAACAGCCAAGTTTTTAGGAATTTCCAGAAGGTCATGGGAGTGGCAGCAATCTGTCCCCGCAAAGAATGCCCACTTTCAGGCTCCCTCCCATTGTATCTTTTATGAACTTTTTAATCACAACATTGGGAACTCCAAACAGTATGTATTTGGTATAATGCCCTGAAGGACAGAACTTATTTATATTTTCAGTTTGTATGGCCACCCTCCCAACATGAAACTCTGGGATTTAAATAAATAAGTAAACAAACAAACAAACATTTTTCTTACCCTTGGACCGGGTCTTCAAGGCCTTTCTAAAGGCTGGCAGGATTGGAATCTTATGAATTTGGGGGAGGGAATATGGCAGGTGTGGTGGCAGAGACTGAATGTGTAGACAGTAATGAAATAATGAAGATGATCTGGACAGAAATATGAAAGTGCTGTTGCCTAAACTAAATGGGCTGAAACATTTTTTCATTCCAGAACATCCAGATAACATTCAGAGGTGGCTCAGACAGACACCTCCTTAATTCACTGAACTATAAGAATGAAGAGGAAGTATAGCACAATCAGACTTGCAAGATTTTCTTACTGTAGTTAATTGCAGTAAAAGTAACTTTAGCCTTCCTATGTAGTTAATTTCTTAGTCTGGTCTACTGAATGGGGCTGACAGCCTGCTTCTTAGGTCCCATACTATAACACTGATTAACTGATGGGACCCAGAGCATGCCAACCCCATTAGATCTTGTCAGACAAGTAGAGATAATTGGAGACAGACAGTCCTGCGAATGTGCAAGCCGTGTGCCATGAAGAGCTTTACAGGTAAATCACTGGCACCTTGAATTGCACCTGGAAGCTCACTAGCAACCAGTTCAGCTCACATTACATGGGCAGACTGAGGTATGCTCATAACTACATGTGCCACCACATTCTGGATCAGCTACACAGTTTCTCCTGAGTTTTAACTACCATTCACCTGAGTTTACTTCAGTTTTTAACTACAATTAAATTAAATTCAACCAGATGAGTTTGTTTCAATTTGTCCCTTCAGAGAAAGCCAATCAAGGTCAATACAGCCATTTCTGGAAACAATGTGGGACAGTCAAAACTGGAAAGAGCTCCATTTGAATCACCCTCAAAGACAGCATCTTTACCCCTTTAAAAACAATGATCAGCACTTGTACACATGGAATTATTTGTCACAGCTAAGTCAAACAAGGACGAAGAAGGAATGGCAGGAAATGCACATTCCCACAGCTGGCTCCTAGAACAGTACTTGGCATAATTGTACAATTTGGGCTGCAATATGCCAAAACTATAAAGAAATTTAATTTACTTTGGAATAAACAGTATTGCTTGGTAGCTCTCCTAGATGCCTTCAAATGGAACTAAGTACAACAAATCAAAGCAGCTCTTGCTGAGGTTTATCATAAATTGTAAATAAGAACATTTGACTCGTTCCTCCTTTTAACAAGCTGAAGGCCATGGTTAGATCCTGGTCATGATTCTAACTTTGTTGAAAGAAAAAGACACTCAAACTGGTATATAATGTCCATTTCCAATGAAAAATTTATCACAACAAATTAGAGGGAAACAAATACAAGGTTGTCAATTCTACCCTGACTCACAGAAAGTATGCAATAAGTAGAACAAATTAGCAATTTAAATCTGAAATTTACTAAATGAAGCCTCTCACTTAGTCATCTGTTTCATCTTTTCAGTATTTTACTTCATTTTGGAAACCAAGTAATTCAAAAGAAAGTGCAAAATTGAGCCTATGTGTAATTTCATATAACACACCTTTCAGTTAAATTATTAACATTACTGACACTCAGAACTAGCACTATATTGCATAAGACTTCGTAAGTGTGATACAAAAATAGTTTTCCTTCACTGACTGAAGGACAGAATCTAGACAATCATCAGAAGATTAGAGCATCTTCATCACAACTCATCACCAACTTTCCAACTCCTCCAAATCAATTTTATCACCTCAACAACAAATAGTGTCTTTCTTGGAGAATCTGTGCTTTTCTAATATCTGACTCTCTTACATACACATGGAGACTTTAAAACTTCTACTACTTGCAAAACAGATCCCTCATCATCTTCAAAATCCTCCTTTGCCTTGCTTTCCCTTATATCAACTATGCACATGTGAAGCATTCAAAGGAGATCATAAAGCACGTTGGCACAAAGCACCTCTCCTTAAAAAGTTAGAAAAGCGGTGTTCTCCAGAAGGCTCAGTCCAGCTATGCATCTATGTTTGAACATGCAGAGCCATTTCCCCCCAGGTGCTTCTGAAATCCCAACAAAGTATTTTCTGTACATATATACATGGAAACAACTGGAAACTTTGATGCCACTGTGCAAAGTCTTCTGACAAAGGTGCTTTAGCCCTTCAAGGAAAAATGGTTTCTGGTGGTGATCTGCTTCGTGCATCACTCCTTCTGAAAGCATAGCAAAGCCCCAACATCCATTCTCATATGCAGATGTATCTGTAAATGCAATCTTTACTCATCCAATTTTATCACTCAATCTGACAGCCCCTGCCCCTCTATCTGGAAATGTGCACAAAATATTTGTTTTGTCTTTGCTTTTATTTGGCATTATATCAAAACCCACTTTTTCTATCAAGCCTTTAGGACAGCCATGTATTTCCCAATATCCTACTAAATTAAGAAGTACATCTGACTCCCTCTTTTCATCTGTTTTTGTTCACCTCTCCTTCCTCTTCAGCTCATTTTTGCCTATGATAGTAAGCATCTGGAGTATAGGCAACAATTCATTCTTTTATATGGATGGGGATATCATTGCCCCATCACTGAGCATTCCTTATAATTTGTATACCAAGCCTATTTTAATTTCCATTCTTGAAATTCACTGGTTTTAACAGTTATTCTGAACTTCTATACTTTAAAATGTACGTATTATAACAGCATAGCTTTGCCCCATAAAACATATTTAATTTTTTGTTTAATATACAATGCAGATTATCATTGAAGGGCAATTTAAAAAACACCAACCCCTCCTCGCTGACCATCTACGTGTATAGACCGAATGTGATCTGCCAGATCCGGACTGGAGTTGAAGCAAGAATGGCACTGGTCCCAACAGCAGTTATAAGCAATACTTTTTGCAGATGAAGCAGTCACTCCCTGTCCATTCATCATGACTGGAGTTGAACGTCCACTGGAAATTGTGCTGTCTACATCCATTATGGTACTGCTTATGCTGCAAGAAGAGGGAAAAACATTAATTAATCATTACCCTCTATTGAAAATTGTGCGAATTTGACAATTTCACCAAATACAAAGTTAAATATATTTATATTTTGTCAAGCCAGTTTGTTGGCACCAGATTAGAAACCAGGAGACCATAAGTTCTAGTCCTGTTTTAGGCATGAAGTCAGCTGGATGACCTTGGACCAGTTGCTCTCTCTGAGCCCTAGGAAGAAGGAAGTGGCAAATCACTTCCAAAAAATGTTGCCAAGAAAACTGCAAGGATTTCAAATACACCACCCCAAAAAGTCACAGAAAATGTATATTATTGACAAACCTCACAAAATGAACATTTATGAATGAATTAATTATTCTTATTTTATGTTTAAAGGAAGCAGCAACTTTCTCATGGGTCTTTAATTGGTTTGGAAGATACTTAAAATTTCAGGTGACAATGAAACTGAACAATTCCTAAGCTAAGTAGAAGATTCTATTATTGTGCTTCATTCATTCCTATTCAATGTATGTTAGTGTTTAATCTATAGAAACCTTTAGAATCTATGCTTTTATCTCATGATGGCCAAATTTTCTCAGAAGCCTTTTATAAGAGAACTCCATCAAAAGATTGTAAAAGTGCATGTGGAAAAACCTTACCAAGCTTCAAATATGAGCATTTTTGGATTTCCAGTCTAGGCTGTGGCCCTGGTGTATTTCCTGGAGGTCTCCCATTAAAGTACTAATGGGGGCCCAATCCTGCTACCACTTGATGCGGCTTTCCATTTTAGAATATTAGAAATTATTCTTGACATTTTTGCAGTGCTTCTGAAGAGTGTTAGCCTCAGCTGAAGTTTAGGTAACCACTTAAGGTAAAAGAGTGAGCAGAGGCTAGATTCCTGTCACTCACCAAAAAGTCCTGGAAGACCTTGGGGTGACTGTCAAGGTTTTCTGATTTTTAACAATGTTAACAAAGAGATGATCTTGCACAGTAATATGATGCTACTGAAATGAAGAACTAACAAGCAGAAGCTACTGCAAACTCCTTTTATTTCTGGTGTTCCAAAATAACTGCCAGGCTCAAAATTCTCAAAAACATATAATTTTCCTTTACACCTAACTCTGAATTCTATATCCTAGAAGCTTTATTTTTTCTGAGTAGAACTTTTTTTACATTCTGTATCAAAGGCTGTAATAAGAAATATTCAGCCCTAAAATATCTTACAATAACTTTAAATTGATATTAAAGCAATAAAGTAAATAGAATTTGCCAGATCAGAAGGATTGGAACACAGACGTCAGTGCTTAACAGATTTCCAAATGCACTTTTCTTTGATCAGCACATCAATTCAAAATATAATGCTGAAGACATCTGAGACACATGTGTGCAATTCAGTAATAAATTCGTTGCAAAAAGAACATTGTCTTTACAGAACTGATACAGTAGTTTTGAACCAAAGTTGCCATTTCTAGTCCCCAAAAAGGTTCTCAGGTTTATGCAAAGTTATCCTTCCTGTTGCATATTTCCTATAATATTCCATGCCAATGCAAGTTTTCCCATTATTTCAGAAACAGGTTTTTAGGTAAGAAGGCTATAGTAGAAGTGAGAGACAGCATAATACAAGTAGAACTTACCATAAGAAAGTGTGGATTACCCATTATCCTCAAACCTTAAACGTTTCTCAAAACAAACTGGGGATTAATTGTTTTCGTCATTAAGAGAAGCATCTGAATGTGGTCACTCAGTTAATATTTATGAGCCACACTGTCAACAGTAGTTAATCTGGAGACCTGTTATTTATTAAATTTCTAGACTGTTAGAAGCACATAACTCTCAGCAATATACAAAAATAATTAGAAGAAGAACATAAAATGGCTACATAATAGTAGTAGTAGTAATAATAATGCAAAAATTAAAACCAGCCACCTAATCACAGCAATATAAAAAATCTCTATGTTCTCTCAACTAGCTGAAAAAGCCCTTCAGAAGAGCTTGGTCAGGACTATATGCTTATCTATTGATCTATCTACTAATGGATGTTTCTTGCTTACCAGATCAATCTTTGTGAATGCATCTCCCTCCCCAAAAGGCTCTAAGGATTGGGATGTACAGAGCATTTCAAGCTCAAAATGCTGTTTTGTGTTCCAAGCTCAAAACAAATTTCTGCATTCCGACTTCAGAACAAAAGTTGGCTGCCTGAATGGCAGCATTTCAAGTGTTCTGATCAAAGAAAGCAAACTTGAAATAGCCATTTTGCTCCTGGAACAGCCCTTTTCAAGTGTTCTGAGCTTGAAACAGGATGTGTCTATTCCAAGAGATTTGTTTTGAAGTTGGAAATCCTCCGAGCCACTTCAAACTTTGTTCCAACAGAACACAGCCACCTTGATTATCACAAGTATAGTTGTTTTGTTCTGAATTCAGAAAAAAACACCTTTGCTTTTCATGAACTTCTAGTTAGTTCTCCTTACATGTATTTTTTTAGCAAAATGACAAAACTTTGTAATAATACATTTAATCTATTCGTATCAAGAAAACTATTCAAACTTCATCCAATACTCTATATATTACATTCAGTATTACTGGATATATTTACTTTGTCCAATATTCATTTTGCAATAAATGGCTAAAAAAGATCCAAAGTTCTATGAGCACTACATAATTATTTACTCTATCTTCCCATCTTATAAAATATCTTTCTTGAGGGAACATTAAATATTGCTACTTGTTGATAATGCACTAGTTCTGTAAACAATTACTAAAGGCACTTATTCTACTTAGTATGGGTATTTATGATGCAGTCTAATAATGTGCATCAGGGACGTGCAAAACATGCCATTTTTGGAATGGAATGTTCTGGGGAACACAAGAATGCCCCATTTGGTACTGTCTGGATAAAAACTGAAATGTTCCACTATTCCCGGCCTCTCCTTTTCTCCCCGGACACAGCATTCTGCCGGATTATTTATTTATTTAATTGATTTATGTAACCACCCATTTCACATGCATCACTCTAGCCAGCTTACAATAAAAATAGATTAAATACATACAATATAACAAATAAAAACAAATAGCAACAGCGACCATCAAAACAACCATTAACATAGCCAGGAGACAGGCTCTGTTCCACACCTGGGGCGCTTGGGCATGAAACCAAGTTTTCAAGGCCTTGCAAAAGACTGGCAGGGTCGGGGCCAATTAACTTCTTGGAAGCCTTCAGAAGACCTCAGAATGACTAGATGGGTGTAGCACAAACCTAGTATGCACCTATTTCCATGTAAACATGCATAGAGTCATAGTGCTCATATCTCCTTGTCCGCTGTCTTTCTTGATCCCCGTCTTCCTTTTTCCTCATGCAGGTTTATTTAAAATTGGAAGCTGTCAGGGAGAGCTTCAAATATTTTTAGATCTGTATTTTGTATTGTGCAGTGCCTTGCTTTAAATGTTTGAAATAACACTATGCAATAATATTTTACATTAAAAGACAACAAAGAAAATATACTCTGCTCCAAATATGACTTCTGTCCTCCTGGGGAATCACTTTCATCATTACTGTTTATAATCTCTTTTGGCAAATTTAATGAATAGTCCAAAAATCCATCTCAGTAAAAAAATTTAACAGCAAATTCAGCAGAGTATACAAAAAATTGGCAGCTTTTATTAACCAAAGGCTAAGACTGATTAGACAACACAGAGAGGATTTAAACAATTTATAAATATGCCCTACGTCACCTAAGAGCTAGATGAGGGCTACCTTCCCTCAGGAACATATCAGACCCCAAAAATGAGAAGTTACATCAATGGTTATGGAAGTCAATATACAATACAATCAATAGAAACATATTTCAGAGATGCAAGTCTTACACTAACTTGGCAGATAATTTGGCTTTTACATTGCTACTGTAAAAGCCAAAGTTTTTGTACATTTCAGAACTATGATTGATTGAACTTAAATATAAGGCAAAAATCCACTATGCCTTTGATGAAACACATCGCTAATCAGACATCGGACTCCACAAACATCACTAAGCTCAGTTCTCTGCAGACTTTCTATTTGAGGGCAGCATATAGGCAGGCTGTGCCTCTGAGTTTTTGAATTACTAACACCTGCAGTGATCTAGTGAATCAGTTAAATGACTATGCAAGATACATATTTCCCTATACAGACAGTTTCTTTAGAGAGCACTTAAAATTCTACCTTCCTTGCCTTGCCAAATGATCACTGGCTTCTATGTCTAGGCCACTAATGAACTCCATATGCTACAGCAACATCTCTGACTAGAGCATTAAAGGAAATTAGGGGCAAGGATTACAGAACACATAATGGTAATCATGCTGAAGAACAGGAACTGCTGGCAGAATGGACTCCCCTTTCCCACACAAGTCCCTTCCCAGTAGAATAGGAAAGGACCCTTAAAGTACATCTAGGAACATGCAAAACAGAGGCACTGGGGAATCCCATTATATAAGAAGCTGAATAGAGCTTATTTAAATGGATAGGTGTCCATATTTAGCTTCAGAGGCAGTTCTCATTTACAGTACTGCATCAAGTTACAGTGATTAACATTCCATAACCATTTGATACCAAAGGCTAGGAGTGGCAGGGGGAAAAAAAGCATGTAAACCAGGTTCCCCAGTTTCACTGACTCACAGCTTTTATGCTGCTAGTTCTAGAGAACTAACATTAAGAATCATGAAATGTAAGCTCTTGTTTCTGGATATGTAACCAGGTTTGCATTGCTGCACAACAGGTTTCATTTTTGAAAAGTAAACATGGAATTATAAAGAATTTTTAAAGATCTTCTCTTAATTGTTGCTCTATTAATTCTAACACAGAAGCTAGAAGAAATAATGTTTTCCAAGCAACTAGAAGGCAATAAATCCATGACATTTGAAAGTAAATATAATTCACTGCTGCTAGAAGTTTCACATAAGTTGTCAAAAAGGAACAAGTCTTTTAACCCATCAATAAAATATTTCTAGAGATCAAAAATTTATTTTCCAGAAACCAAGAACAAATG